CCCTTCGTTTCTTTAAGTGCAATAGATTTATTGCCTTAGAGACTACGCACAGTTTGATTGAATTATTCATTTTTTTTTCTTTGGTGTAGACTGCATCTGGGGACTCTGATGTGACGTGTAGGGTTTTTTTTTTTTTTCAGGAACAAAGGGAATGTGGAAATGAAAGAGAGGGAGAGAGAGGCTGGCAGATGTAATGAGACGCGGTGAAGGTGTACGCAGACTGGCACTCCCACTCCTCCCTTCTGCTCTCGCTGCAGCCCCGGGTAACTCGCAGGCTAACACAAACAGCCTTCCTCCCGCAGCCTGCCCTCTGTCACTGTAAGTACAGCAGCCTTCTCTTATCAGCATGCAGATACCCGCCCTGCCCTCCCCTGCCCCCGGGCTTTGCGCCTGAGACAGCAGAAGCACTTTGGATATGAACTTTCCTTAGCCAGGAAAGACATAGCTGTAAAACTTATTTTTTTTTTTAAATTTCTCTTTATTTTCTCTTCGGGGGAAAAAAAAAAGTTCATGCATTTGTACCTCTTTCCCCCACATCGCTGGTGCCGGTGCTGGTCCGCTAACTGTCGCTACCTCTGGGGTCTTCCCGACAGGCCGAGGCGCAGGTTCCGATGAAACGTAACGCGGTTTTTCTGTCCACCAAAAGTCAGAGGGGCAATGCCTGGTCCCTTTGGCAGAAAAATGACGTCTCCTAGGACGCAGGGCGTTAGTCACAGCTTGTGTTTTGCTTTTGTCGTTGGAACCGCGAGTTCCGACCTCTGGAGGCAGAGTCCCAAGGGCACTGTTATTGGGGGGCACTCGGGTTATTGGGTTACACCAGGCTGAAGTGCAGTGCGATGGAGCGTCTGTCTGCTTGTTCTCCCTGTTTCAGGAAACCAGTTGCTAAAACTTTTCTCCATGCTGTCATTAAAGTTTTCAACTTGCTTCCCTTAGTTTTTTTTTTTTTTTTTTTTTTTAATACTCTTTCCCTAATTCTCCGTTTCAGCAAAAGCCCTCACTCCCAGCGCTTTGGAAGTAAAGACCTTTCCGTTGATCTGATTTGTACAGTAGCTATTCAGCCCTTCCCGAGAGAAGTTAGCGATCTTGAGCCGAACTCATGTAGATCTGAACTGTCCGCTCGGCTGGTGCAAGGCGACTATCAAAGCGAGGATTTGAGGTTTTGGACAGTGGTTCTGATTTTATTTATTTATTTATTTTTTGCGTGGGTGCTTTAACTATGAACTTCTGAAGCGGAACTCTTTGCATTACCCTTCCCAAGTCCAGGGGGACCTCCCTCCAGGAAGCGCGCGTTCCTTGCCTTTGCCGGTTGGCACCTCTTCCCTGGAGGTGCGAGGCCAGATTTAGCCAAGCCCCATTGCCTTGGCTGGGTGCGGTGCGCGGGGACTTCTGGACGCACGGAGGCAGCGGCTGCCGCTGTGGGCATGTAAGTCAGTTCCTATCTGCGCCCGATTCCCCCTAGCTCTCGCCCGCCCGCCCGCCCGCCTGGGGTGCTGGCGCCAGTCCGGGGGTTCCAAGGCGCAAGGAAGAGGAGCCTGTGCGCCCTGGCCCTGGCAGCGGAGCCTGGGTGTCTGTGCTACTTCCGGGACTTTTCCGCGCCCGCAGGCCATGCGGACCAGGTGGAGAGCCCCTCCCTCAAGGCCAGGGTAGGGCTATTAACCTGCCCCTGCGCTTCGGGAGGCTAAAAGGAAACCCCCAGGGCGCTCCGCCATCCCCAGGACCACGTGTCACCAGGTGCACAGCCTGACTCAGCCTGGACACCCCAAACTTTAGTTTCCTCACTTTAGGGATTCATGTTGTGACCAGCCCCGGGTTCCGCCTTATTGATCTACTTTGGTGTCAGCTTATTAGATACAATCTAAAGAGCAATCCTGTAGCTCCCTCCTGGAAAGTTCATCCTGGCTCTCTCTTAGGGCCTTGGATACCAGAAATCTCGATAATGTTGTCTTTTTCTTCTTTTTACTTTTTTTTTTTTTTTTTTTTTTTTTGCCTTCTGTCAGTGGCCTGCAACTTGTCGGCAGCGTCAGCCTCCCCCCCCCCCCCCCCCCCCAGGTTCCCGAGTGCTGTGTGATTTAGAGATGGATGCGCTGGTCCTCGAAAAGCCAAACTTGTCGCAGCAACTCTGAGGAACCCAGTGGAACGGCACCATTTCCTTCCCGGATGTTTCCCCTTCCTCCGTGGCTCCTCTCTGAGAATCCAGTCATTGAGACTTAAAAGTACCACCTCTACTCATTGCCCTGACTCTACAAGCCTTAGGACAGGTCACTTGATTTTGAGTTGTTGGAGAGAGGGGCTCCTGTGGTTGAGTTCCAGGGCAGGCGGCCCAAGAGCTCTGGATCCCGGCGATGGGCCACACTATTCACAAAACCCAAAAGCCAACTGAAAACAAAAAACAAATCCTAGGAGTGGCTGACCCCAGTTTAAGCTGGAAACACCATTCGGGTTTGCCCCTAGGGCCTTGGAGGTCAAGGGCAGAGCGAGCCAGCTGTGGAAAGAGCCGGCATGCAAGGTGTCAGGCATAATCTTAGCCTCTCTCTGGGCCTTGGTGCCTTGGAGACAGACCTTCCTGTTCTGAAATTTGCTGTGAGCAGTGGCAACACAACACGTTTTGGTGGGGACTAGCTCTTTCTCAGCTAGCCATCATCAAGTCACTTTAACTTACAGACCCTAACTCCCAATACTCCAGCATCGTATTTTTTATTGGGATAGAAGCATCTGGCTATTTCTCATGTGCCACTAATTGGAGGTGGTCACCCCCACCCTTATTTCTATTCTTTTTCCTTTTCTGGAATCTATAGGAAACCGAACATGGAGTATCCTTGAAGAAGCCAGTGTGTGACTGACACTTAGCTTGTTCCATCTTGTGCTTGCTCACTTTCTCCATCCTCTTAAAAGTTCATGTGACAGAGATAAGGCCTTCTCCCCCTTACCTTTTATCTGTGGAAGGTCTTAGTCTTTTAACTTTAGAATGCCATGAACATTCTGGATTTTCTAGTAAAAATTCCTGACCCCTCTCTTTTGGTTCATATCTCCTTTCATCAAGTATCTGTTTATGAAGTATCTCCAAGTGGCCATTTCATATCAGTTTCTACAGAGCAAGGGCCTGTCCTTCTGCAAACCTCTGCAGGCTATGCTAGTGTATCAGAAGCTCGCTCCCAGTTTTTAATCTTGATGTACTTTTGAGTCTCCACTGACATCAGTTTTTCAAATCTAGTCTTTTTCTTTGAACTTGGGTTAAGGCCAACCTCACCTTGTACACACTGCCTCTAGTTATCTCTGTGTCTCTTACTGTCAGAGCTGGTTTTATCATATCTCTTGTATTCTGTATCTCTACTACCTTAATGTATGATCAGTCTTTCACTTTTAAGTCCTCCACTTTTTTTTTTTTTTTTTTTTTTTTTTTTTTTTTTGCACTGAGATAAAGTTCCAGGCCTTTGCTTTTTTTTGGGCCATTTTATACCCTTCAAGTCCTTTATCTATCCTACATATGCATCAAAGAGAATCTTTAATTCATTTATTTTTGGGGAAGTCTTATTTATATAATTTTCTGCATCTGAGTTTGGAGTTTTACTTGCTGTTCTAGGTATCTGAAATTCTTTTCATCTTGTATAACTTCCAAGCGACCCCTCTTGAAATTGTTTCTCCAAATATACTCCTATACACAGTTGAGATAGTACACATATATCACACACTCAAGTCCACATAACCCAGACTTATTCATATAATTCACGTGGAACTGTTTATTTATTATTGTAAAGGTATAATCATTTTTCTTTGGTAGTTTGTATGTCTTGTTATTTATAATAATTTTTATTCATAAATCCCATGACCCACATGGCATCCAGAATACTGCCAGCTACATAAGCTAAGAATCTCCTCTGTCAATTGCTTTTTCTTCTTTTCTTTTCAGTTCCTTTTTCTGCATCTTTTAACATACGTTTCTCTCCCCTCTCCCCCCCTCCGTTTACTGAGATCCTAACTGGCGTGTTTTCATTATCTATGCTTCCTGCACCTCTTTCTTTACTCTTTCTGCCACTTCATCTTTCATTTTTCTTTCCTTATTCATCTAATATTCATCCTTCTTTTCTTCTTCCAGGTCTGCTTCAGCACCTGTCCTTCCCCTTTCTCTGTGTCTCTCATGCCTCACCTCTGTGGTCCAGTTCTATATCTCAGTGCTTCCTAACCTTCAGTCCATGCCTCCTCTGTCACACAACTTTCTCAAAGCACAAACTACCACCCCTACTTTACCTCCCCTTCCCACTTTACCTCTTCTCTTTCCCCAGTTTGTCCTTTCTTTCTCCCCAGTTGTCTACCTTTCCCCCACTTCAGTTTGTCTTCCTCTTGACTCCTCCTCCCAGTAGCTCCTGTCCTGAGAGCGCTCCACGGGTCCTTGACGCCTCAGCCCCTCTCTCACCTAGTACTTGTCACCATTCCTCTCTGACCCGAGCTCCCCCTCTCCTTTGTCCCCTTCCCATCCCCTCCTAGTGAGTCGCTCCGCTCTCTTCTTCCAGGCGCTTTCTACAGCCCCAACCTCCGAGCGCGCCGCTCTCTGCCCTTTCTCCTGCTCTCTCGCCTCTGCCTCCCGCTTTCCCCTCCTTCTCCTTCCCCCGTCTTCCCCCCTCCTCCCTCTCTCCCTTCCTCCCTCCCTCCCAGCTTCCCTGCCTGGCTCGCCGCCTCCCTCGCCTCTTGTCTCATCTTGCCTGTGTTGTCTGGGAGGGGAGCCCTGCCTCCTCTCCCTCGCTCAGATCAATGCCCTGGCCACTCACTTTCTGATGTTGCACGACGGGAAATGCTTTGAATACTTACGACATGGCCGCTCACACTGATTGCCAAGATTGACAGCACTCACCATCGCCTTCACTTGTTTCAAGGGGGAAACCCCTAGTCTGCCCGCTTCTGCGCGCACCTCCCTCCCGGCACCCCGGCGGCAAACTTCTGCGGGTCAGCGCTCCCCCGCCCCGGGGCGGGACACCCCCGCAGACCAGAGTTAACGGGGCTGCGCCTGCCTGGGCATTGCGGGGGGGTGGAGGGGTTCCGCTCCCTTGCTCCCCGGGGTGGTGCTAATTGACCTAGCATCGACTCCCCTTGCTTTGAGGATTTTTTTTATTTTATTTTATTTGTTATCTTTCCCTTTTTCTTTAATGCCATTTACTCTCGAGGCGCAGCGCACAAGGAGCCCTCCCGTGCGGCACCGTCCTGGAGCCCGCCCAGGTAACCGGGACGGAGCGAGCGAGCGAGCGAGCGAGCGAGCGAGCGATCTAGAGATCGTGGGCGGTCGAGTGAGAGCGCGCGGCCCGTTTGGGAGCTACCTGTTGGGGAGTCGGAGGGGGGCAGGGGCAGGGACCCCGGGCCGGGCCCGCCGGCCCCCTGCGCCTCCTGCTCCTGCCCTTCCAGGCGGCCCCAGGGTTAGTTTTCCCTGAGCTGGGACGCAGGGGCTGGGGCAGGACAGGCGGGGGGACCAGAGCGGAGCGCGCGGAGCCCTGCGAGGGAGCGGGTGGCCGGGAGGGTTTCCGAGCGAGGCTGGGGAGGGGGGCGGGGAGGGGGACTGGAGGGCGGGGGAGGAGGAGCGGGAGGAGGGCGCTCAGCCCGCCGACGTAGAGGGGGAGCAGAGTTGAGAAAGGGACCCGAGCGGCTGCCGCTCGCTGCGGGCGGACGCGCGAATCCCCAGGATGCATCCCCCTCTGGGAGAGTTGTGCCTTGTTCCGGAGGCGGTGACAGATCTGCGTGGCGGGTTTCTGTTTTTTTTTTTTTTTTTTTTTTTTTTTTTTGCCCCCCCCCCCCCCCCCCCAAGTCCCAACATCCACTCCGAGAAAACACATGTTGTAGCTGCAGATAACTGTGCGTAGGACCCCAAGGCCAAAAGAGCAGGCGAGGGAGAGAGCGCAACCTTTTGACAACAGAAAGCTGTTATCGCCATCCTAAGTATTCGTCCGGAAATCTGTCCGCCCTCTCGGCCCACCTGACTCCTTCTCCTCCACTTCCCCGAGTAGATACTAACCCATGTCACTGGGAACGTTATGAGAAAGAAGTCAGGTGGCTTAGAGAATGAATGTTTAAGTCTCCATGAACTTTGAGGTAGGTATCTCATTGAAGTTTGCGCAAGTGTGTGATGTAAGAAGCTTGTACCCTGCGTGTGTAGCGATCTCTCTCTCTCTCTCTCTCTCTCTCTCTCTCTCTCTCTCTCTCTCTCTCTCTCTCTCTCTCTCTCTCAGCTTCTGCGTGTGTGCTCTTCTGCGAGGGTTCAGATGGGACCGCTGGGTGGTAATGCCTTTTGTTCCCACAAGAGGGCAGCATCCCGAGGGCTTTGTGAGCACCGTATCTCATTATCGCTTGCAGGCTTGGGTTTAGAGAAAGTTATACCAAAACTTTCAAATTGATATCACATCTTATTCCGTGATACTAAAAAGAAAAAGAGGGGGATAAAAAGACAAGTGAAGAAAGAAGAGAGAGAGAGAGAGAGAGAGAGAGAGAGAGAGAGAGAGAGAGAGAGAGAGAGAGAGAAAGAAAAGAAAGCAGGCCAACCAGCCTATCTCGGGAGAGTCATACCAAGACTAGGGGGAGGGCTGTTTTAATTGTGGGTTTGGCCGGCTGACGACTGGAGTGCCCTCCTCGGCTGTCTTAGTTGTAGCCGGAGGTCATGTAAATCGACCTTAAAAGAATGCATAAGCCATAAATTAAAATAAACCTTCACCCAAGGGCTGATCCATAGAGTAGACAATATCCAACCTGGACAAAACGAGCTTTCCTTTACGAGTCGACCTTAACCGCATCCCCCCAAAGAATAGAGACTAAATGCAAAGTAAGTTTCCCAGCGACTATTTTGTTTTCTTGAAAAGTGTTGGGTTGGTTCGCCGCCGCCGTGGGACTGACTGCGATGCGGCCGTTTTCCGGAGCGCTTCAGGGCTTAGCCAGGCTCCGGGTGCGGGAGAGGTGGGGGAGGACCCGCTGGGTTTCTTGGGCTTCTGGACGCTACTCCCCACCCCACCCCCATTTTGGTTTGCAAACTTTGGCTATTTGTGGGCTTGACGCTGGCGGAGGGCGGGCGAGAGGCGAGGATCTCCGCCGCGCGCTCCCCTTTGGGGTGCAGTTCCCCGGGAGGAGTTCCCCCGGAAAACCCGGGTCGCTAGAAAACCCACGCGCTGCTTCCTCCTTCCAAACCCGCCCCGCCGCCGCTGCTGCGCGGCCGCAACTTTCCCGGGACCCCGCGCCGCTCTCTCCCTCCCGCTCTCCTCCCCTTATTTTTGGACTTTTGGACTTGGCTCTTTAGGATCGCTTTGGGATCCACAAACTGAATTCCAAGACCACCCGAAAATCCCCCAGTGCTAATCTGTGGTCCTTCCTCTTTGCCCGGGACCCTAGGGCAGAGGTGCCGGGCTCGGCGGGGGCGTGCGTAAGCGGCTGCCCCAAACCCTGCGGAACCCCGGCTCGGCCGGCCTGGGGATCCCCGGGGCCCCACACACAGTCGCCGGCCCTTGTCCGCCCCGTGCTCTCCCACTCCGCGTCCCCGAGCCCAGCCGGCGCCCTTCGTCCTTCTCGGCGCCCCGCCTGGGGCCCGCTTGGCCGCCGCGCGCTCCGCTCCGCTGCCCCCCGGAGACCGGCCACTCGGGGGCTCGGCCCAGGCCCGGGGTGCGGTGCTGCCTCCCGCCCGAGCCGCGCAGCTCTCAGGGGGACGGAGGGAGCCGCGTCTTTCTCTCGCCCTCCCGGGGCTGCTCCAAGAAAGGAAGGGGCTTGTGAACAGTCTGCCGGGGCTGTGCTCCGCCGCCGGCAGGAGCGCCCGCGGCTGCGGCGGACAGATTAGCTCCCTTCCCCCGGACCGTCTCCCCGGCGCTCCTAGGAGCTTTAAGATAAAAAACTCAGAGAATTGGTGTGTCCCGAGCAGATAAAAGGCGGTTGTCGCCGGCGTGTTTTGAGTGTTATTTAAGTTCTCTGAGGCTGACCACGTTGGAAGACATTTGTTTGCACGGATTGTCAGCTAGGGAGTGCTGCCCCGGACTTGGGGACGGAATGGGAGCCGGGACCCTGCAGGCGGGGCTGCACTGTTCGCCTGGCGGGTAGTCCCCGGCTGCTTCTGGGTGTGTGACCTCCTCCTCTGGGGGCCCGTGCTGGAAGTTTCGGTCTCGGAACGGCCCCGAAGCCGTCGCTAGGGCAAACGGAGGGGCTGGGCTCCGGGCCTCCGGCTGCCCTGTCAGTGGGGCACTGGGATGACGTCCCTGTCCAGGGCGCCTGACCCTGGCGGGGCGCGCACTCCGGGGGCCCGCCCTCCTCCCCGGCTGGGCGGCCCGGCCCGCAGCCCCGCGGAGTCCGGGATGCCAGAGTGCCCCTGTTCCCCGCCTCCCCAGGGTCCCCTCTTCTCCAGCCCTTTATAGTCACATGCCCGAGTCCCGGGTCCCGAGGAGAACAGACGCCGCCCCGCCCAGTCTATTTCTAGGAGGAGGGTTTGGTGAATAAAAAAAAAAGGTCAAGTGGTTGGGTCCACGCGCGCTGGTCCATGGCGTGGAGGGAGGGACAGGTCGGACACCTGGCAAGGACCTCCCCGCCTGTCCCCCACCTCCACCCTGGCAGGCCTTCTCCCCCCCCCCCCCCCCCCCCCCAGGGCTGGCCTCCTCCGGCCACATTCTTTCGCTAAGTGTGAGAGGCTGTGGGAAAAGCAACCCGGAGCCGGCCGAGAGCCGGCGAAGCTGATCCCGCGATGGCATTTTGTTTTGAACAGTTGCTTGGGTTGACGTTTCCTCATAAGGTAAGGTGTCACTGGACAGTCGGCTGCCCAAATGCCACATGTATAATTAGCTTGCACACTCAGCACCTCGTCCCCGAGGCCCAAGGCCCGCAGGCACGGGCTTGGCCGACCTGGCCCCCCTCAGCTGCGTCCTGGGCTGCAGGATTTCCGAGGAAGGGTGCAACCAGCCAGGACAGCCCCGGGAGGCCCCATGCACCCCCGGGGACGGTGACAGAGTAGTTCTGTCTGTGATTTATCTCTCTCTCGATGTTCCTGTTCCTCAGCTCTCTTTATTTTTTTTCTGTTGAGGGGGAAACTCCTGGTTACAGGGGTAAACCAGCGGCAGGGTGCAGGCTGAATGAGGAAAGGGGGTACAGTGTGTGACTCGGTTGTGCAAATCTGGCAGTATAGGGACTCTGCACACCCTGCCCATGGAGGGGGGCTGTTAGTGTCCCTCTGTGCTCCCATCCACCAGGGCTAGTCCAGGCTTGGCATTATGTCCTGGGTTGGGTAGAGGCTTCAGACTTCTCGTTTGGATTGCACACTTGTCTTGGTGCTCCCTCCCACACCCACCCCAGAGGCCACTCAGCAAATTGGTATCTATGTCCTGATTGCAGCTACTGTCCCCTTCCCCCACCCGCTCAGGGCCTAGCCGCTTGGGGCTGCTCGTGTTCACTGTGGGGGAGCTGGAAGGATCCGCTGCCTCTCCTTGTCTAGCTCTGGTGCAGCTGGGCTTCTTAGGGGCAGAGCCCTCTCCTCTCTGTTTGTGCCCCGATTGGTGCTGCAGAGGCCCACCTGGCTTCTCAGCCCCATCCTCAGGCCAGCTTTTGCATGCACTCCGGAGTCCGGATTTCTGCAGCCATGAACATGACTTTCCCTCTATCAGTGCAGTCAGGGTGGGAGCCAACACTCAGCAATGGGCACTTTCTTCAGGCTCCCTCCTCCCCTGATATCTTCTAGAAGATTCTCTTTATTTTAAAACAAAAAAAACAAACATCCTAAATCCATCCATGAGTTTAGTGGGATAGGGTTAGCTTTGCTATGGCCTGCAAGAGTCTAACCTTTAAGGTGGGAAGTGGGGACATGGTTTACCTTAGTTGCATTTGATTTTTTATTGAACCGATGAAATATTTCATGTTTCATAATAGGGGAAAGTTATAACTGATTTTTAAATATGCTACCAGACCACGAATGTATGAGCTATATACTTTGAGAGTATCTTTTTGAATACACATATGTGAGCACATGAGCAGTAGGTCTAATGGCATGTAGATTTTTTTCTCCTACACTTTTGAAAATCTCATAACTCTAGTCAGATTGTCCTTATCCTAAAACAACAAGAACAACAACAGCCAACCAAAAATTAAAATCCTTCAGACTCTGAAAGCATGCAAGTGTGCACCACACTTATTAGATCTAGTTCATTACCAAAGGCAGTGAGTAACCAGGATGTAGCTATTGCTAGGCCATTAATTCCCTAAGCAAACTGACATCCTCTGCTGCTTTTCTCAGGTACTATCAACACCCCCTTTCTCCTTTGCTTTCCCACCATATCCCCTCACATATAGTAGCAAAATAAGATAGTTTTTATTTTTATTGTTCGTTCTATGTAATGCTATTCTTAGTGGTTTTTTTTTTTTTTTTTTTTTTTTTTTTTTTTTGGAAGTAATCAGAAGGAACTTTCTCTTGGTGTATATGTTTTTTAAATAACAAATTTATAAATGGAGCATGATACAAATTCCTATAATAGTATAATATGCAACTATAATACTCAAAACATTATACTATAAAGGAAATAAATGTAAGTATTAATTAATAAGACACTATTTCTATACCTTAAGCTGATTCTATACTGGATTCAGTAACAATAACTAGAAGAAATGACATTTAGTAGGAATATAATATTGTCTGTTGGACATTTTTTTCATTAGTAGCAGAAAGCGACAGATATTTTCCTTAGTAAGAGAAAAGCATATGTTTAAAATATGACTATATCTGTCAAGTTCTTCTTTTAAAGCTTTAAAATACTATTTTCAAAACATAAATGATCAATTTTGGTGGCATTATGTCTGTTTCTATTTGACTTTTAAAAAGGAATTATTGGTTGCTGATAAAATTGCTACACATACCCATTTTCTATTGAAGAAGTTAGTGATGTTTTAAATAATTCTTTTTCAATTAATACAATAGGTACTGGAATAAATGAATTTTCTTTTAATAAGGTTTTAATATACATTGGCATTAAGCCTTACTTTTAATATTTTCTATACTTTTTAGTTATGTTATTTATCTCTAAGTTTGAAAGAATTCTCTTGTTAGTCAAAGAATTCATATATTCTTTTAAAATACTTACAAATAGCATCCTCTGAAAGTATAGTACAGTACAACTGAAAATTTGGTTGATATAAGAGCTGTTTGTTTAAATATAGTTTAGGGGTGCATATATATCAATTGATGTTTTTGAAGTCAAGTGAAACATTCCATCAAGCTAATGTGTCTGAGAGTACCATATCAGGCACAGACAGGTACTAGAAATGATAAAACACAGATAACATACAGCAAGATGATTTGCAGATGGGATGTATTATCTGCTGTCATGAGGTTAGATGGGTCATATTACTGTGTTTTTTTTTTTTTTAACTAATCTAGGTTATTTCAGAATTATCAAGTTATATAGGTATATGAGATTTAATGAAAACATTTTATTATAGAAACTTGCTAAAATATGAATATTGCTTTTTAGAGGAGGAAATAGACTGTTTTAGCATTTGGATCGCTTCTTGTTTAAGAAATATGGCTCTCTCCTATTATTTTTTTCCTTACAAGGAAAATAATGCATTGAACATTTTATGTCTTTATTCTAACTCCAAATTTTCTCCTTATTATACTCTGACTCTCAACATACTCAAGTAAAAAAAAAAAAAAAGCTGCCATACCACTATGATCTATGAAAAGCAATTTTATTAGATGTAAGCACTATTTAAATTTATAGCTTATTGTTTTCACATGAGGTTCTTCAACTGTGATTTGAAAACTAATTGTTTTGGTAAGAATTATATCAGAAACTTTCATCATTCTCTCATTACATATTCATTATTCATTTATAGGAAAAGTGTTTTTTTTTTTTAATTTTCCTTGTTCTGTGGAAGAGGGTAAAAGTTTTTCAGTGAATTACTTTGTTTCGGCACTTAGTAGTCAAACTGGAAAGAGTTTTAAACCTGATATGATTTTTGATAGAGCTTTTTAAATATTAAATACCCATTGTTATAATTTGGATAAAATATCAATTAAAAATGTGCGTGGAGGTTGTAAGATATATTTTTAAAGGTATATAATTTAAATAACTACGGACTCTCTCACCTCTACAAAAAGGATGCTGCCCTGCTTTTCCTCAAATCTGTGGTAGTCTCAAAAAGGGAACATGAAATCCTAAAACCTCAGAGAAACAGTATCGATTCAATTCTTAGCTGCAAATCCTTCATATCATTGCTCAAAATATCCAACTTTTCACCAATATTAGCCATTCTTTTTATAGTGACACCATGCTTAGTAAAAAACTTCTAAGCACTGAGGTCAGGTGTTGAGATTGGATTCTAGTTTATTTTTTATGAATCAGATAAAGATTTCTGTGCATGAGACCATATGTGAAGATGAGAGAACAAGAACATTTCCATATCAAAGGCAATATATCTGAGGCTGCATGGTAATTAAAATGCAGTGGTTTGGACTCTGTGCACTAGCACTTAAACAGAGCATCGCCGGGACCTTATGCATCATGCAGGCGGTTGCCTCTTGCATACTTCTTGAAATACACTTATAATTTTGTACAAACATTTATGCCAGTCCACACTTTTCTGTGGATAATTTGTATTTCATCCAAACCATTCAAAGTAGAAGTTATTTTTTGAGCTACCCCCTCATTATGGCTTTTGTGCATCAACTATTTTTATTCCAGTTGTTTGTATTTTCTTTTACCAGAATGATGGCTTGTTTATATTCAGATTCTCTTCTTGCTCCTCTAAGACCCCTTATATGTCACTCATATTTTACTATTCACTAAAAAACAAAAACAAAAAAAACACCTTTCAATTTTAGGAAAGATGTGAATTATTTTCTGAGGTTAATTGTAGATGCTGTAATCTATTATAAACTAATAAACTACATTTAAAATACCAACCACCCAGTTATTTTTACTTGATAATGCTAATATATTTAGTCATCCTCACTAACTTGCACAGTACATAATAATGGAAAATTTTTCTTTTCACAATGCTTAAAGAACTCTGAAATATTCTTCCTTATCTTTTAATGGTATAAAAAAACGAGTAGTGGCATTCTCTTTCTTACTATTTCAAGTGAAAAACAACTATTTGAAATGATAGAAACCTTTATCTGAAGAGTCATCTCTGCATTTATAGGGAGATGCTTGATTCTTCTTATAAAGAGCTGGTTAGCATCTTAACCTGTGGTTATTTAAGATAGAATAGTGAAATAAAATCTAGCAATTGGTAGTTCAATGTTGTGTATGTTTTAGAAAATTTTGCATCTTTGGTAACTAACTTGAATTTGCTGCTCTGTAATTTTCTATTTCTGTATTTGTGCTCTATCTGTGAACATTCTGGTCTGGTGGCAAGGACTTCATCGGTATATTTTATTTATCAAGCTCTCCTGGTCTATAAAGCTTTTAAAACGTTTCTCTGGATGGAAGCACCATGTATTGAAGAAGCCTAGTGTGATATAATGGAATTCTTTAAGAGTTTTTGTGTTTTTAAACTGTTTTGGACCAAAATTACTTAAGTATATTGATTTGATGCTGTTTAGTGATGACATGTGCATAATAAATATAAGGTAAATTTAAAGTACAAAATATGATACCCTTCTATGCAAACATTCTATATTCTCTGATTCCAACTTCTTCTTGATCTCTTTCTTCTCTGAAAATCTCACAAGATAACCTTTGAAGTGATCTATTATCCTTGCTACTTTAATAATTTGTTGTTTCTAGTCACCTTAAAGAGACT